CGAGTGCGAGTGCGAGTGCGAGTGCGAGTGCGAGTGCGAGTGCGAGTGTGTGAGTGAGCGCGCGAGCGAGAGCGCGAGCGCCAGTGAGAGTGAATGAGTGAGTGAGAGTGTGTCAGTGCGTTGTGTCTGTCCCACCATCTCTCTCGTGCTACATGTATTGGCTTGCCTGTGTTTCAGTTCGCGTCTGCATGCATTACATTGTTGTTTCCGTCCATCAAAACACATACCACCACTGAGAAATTTCTGTGCTAATGACATTTGCATGATAAATTACCACGGCATAAGTTCACTAAATATTTCCCAATTATGACCTTAGTCTGCTGCATAGAAATTTAATCTCCCAGTAGTTTCGAATTAGTAGTTATTCGAATTTGGCTGGTTAAGTACGTTAGAAAAGGAAGCTTCGAACTGCGTGTATGCGCACGCCCCTTGCGTGCTTGCATTAGTAAACCCACGCATAGAAATATTAAAATCTACTTATTTTCCTTCATTACAATAGATCAATATTTCTTGGCCACGATTCGCATATCTTAACAACTTACTAATCAAATACTCTTTGTATGAGATCATCTTGTTACTAATTGAAGTTCACGCTGAGGAATTTTGTGGATACGATGTTCTAGAATTATGATTCCACCTAGGCTTCAATCGTAGGGTACATGTACTAAAAAGCGTATATTGAATAAAAAATAATGACCAATTATTACCAACATAAAAATATTTAAAAAACACATGAATTAAATTTAAAAAAAACTAATAACAATATAAAAATATTAAAAAACGTATATTGAATAATAAAAATAATCTAATGGTATTAAAAAAACGTATGTTAAATATTAAAAAAACGTATGAAATTAGAAAAACTAATAACCAATATAAAATTATTAAAAAACGATGGGTGTCGGTTTGATCATATGCTTGCCATGCGCATTGCCTCGCGCTTTACAGATCAACTATCAGCTACTTTCTCTGTGTAGTTGGTCTGCTTATCATTGGTGAGATGGTCCGGGACTACTCTGTATATATCTCCTAAGTATCAGAAGACAGAATTTTCGTGTTTTGTGGGAAAACTATGGTCTAGAATATTGAAAGACACCCTAAAGTTGTCCTAAAAGTATTTAAGATCAAGAGAAATGATGGCTATTCGAGACAGGATAATAATTTCGTTAGCTCTGCCATCAAGCCTCTTGACCCACAGCCATATATAATAAATTATTATATTTACATACATTATTACATGCATATAATACATACATATTTCACATTCATAGATTTTTATGATAATATTCCATCGGTAGACCTCACTTTTGAAAGAGGAAGCAAACATTGCATGTATGCTCCCGGCTGCATAGACCGGTCAGAACTTAATCTGACTACGTGATTGTTTGGGCGCATGCGCAATATCTCACCAGAGGAGTTATGTTTTGTACTAAAAGTGCATTTAATATGGTGAGGGGGCATCTCATCATAGGTTTCTGTAATAAATTCTTATCAGTACACCTGTGTTTATGATTAGGAGAGCGCCCTAGCCAGTAGGGTGCAAAACTACTATTGCATCCCCGCCCGCCCTTCCCCTTGTCGCCCTTGTCGCACGCTCAACCTCCTTCTTCTTCAACCGCCCCTCGGCTGTCTTCCCTGCCACCTTCCCTCAGTCTCCCACCCCTCTCTCCCCCAGCAAGCTATATTACGTACTTTTATTTAGGCCGTACTGCACGTCTGAAACGGTGCTCGCGCAGGCGCAATATCTTCCAAGAATAATAATATTTTGCCAACATTATGAATTTGGAATGAAGAGGGGTTATCCCAGCATAGATTTCTATGATAATATTCCATCAGTAGACCTCACTTATGAAATAGGAAGCAGACCTTACATGTAAGGTCCCGGCTGCATATATCAGTCATGCAGTACATATCCTGGCTACGTTATTGTTTGGGCGCATGCGCAATATCTCACCAGAGGAGTTATGTTTTGTACTAAAAGTGCATTTAATATGGTGAGGGGGTATCTCAGCATAGGTTTCTGTAATAAATTATTATCAGTAGACCTGTGTTTATAATTATAGGAGAGCGCCCTAGCCAGTAGGGTGCAAAACTACTACTTCATCCCCGCCCGACCTTCCCCTTATCTCCCTTGTCGCACGCTCAACCTCCTTCTTCTTTCACCGCGCCTCGGCTGTCTGCCCTGCCACCTTTCCTCAGTCCCCCACCCCTCTCTCCCGCAGCAAGCTTTATTAAATACTTTTATTAAGGCCGTACTGCACGTCTGAAACGGTGCTGGCGCATGCGCAATATCTCTCGAGAAGTAAAATATTTTGCCAAATTTAAGAATTTAAAATAAAGAGGGGTTATCCCAGCATAGATTTT